TCTTACTCCAAATGAGTGAATAGAAAAATATCCCATTCTTTATCGGGTCCTCATGTTTTTTTAAATATTCATTTTTTAATTTGAGCTTTTTTTTTCACATTTTCATTTATAACTTTTTTTCATACAATACAAAGTAGTCTACGATAAATCACTACTAGAATTCTCATTAACCACAACCCGTGGGCAAGTTTCATTTTGTGCATTTTTATTGAACCTCAACGAGTTCCTACTTATTCTGTTCAATATTCAAGGCTGTAATCAACTACGTTTACCTCTGAATTCATCAGGTTCTGCATAATTCATGCCAGTCACACTTCATAGCGGAGAATTCTCTGTTTTTAGTGGAGATGAATGACGTAGGAATTCCTGTTTGAAAGAATTAGGTTATATTGTAGTTCCTCTCCATAGCTATACCATTTGGGATAATTATTTAGTAAAAGATAAATACTTAAATGAAACTCGAGATACTGCAAACTCTACAATGCATGTATAAAAAGCAGAACAATTCAATAGCTGTACGATTGTTTCGTTGCAGAACGCTGTGCTGATTTCCGCAGCGTACACGAATGGTTTGATATACGTATTATGATATATTTGTGTAATGTATGGAGTCTTTTTTTCTTAACATGTCAGTTTCTTCTTGGGCATCTCAATGCCAAAATGTCTCTTCATTTGGCCGCTTTGCACTGGGAGTGTTTGCAAAAATACCTTTACAGACATCCCTGCTAACCAAAGATTATTATCATTTGGATTAAAAAATAAGACATAAGTGCATAAATCATCCAGTATACTTCTCATTAAACTATACCAGCAAATATCCCAGTTGAGATAACACTGCACCGCTCAAATCTTTCTTATATACCGACGTAAACATTACACCTTCATCCCATTTCGACAGCAGAGTAATTCCATCCAAAAATGGGTGGGAACGACAAAAAGGAATGCCGCGACCCGGGATCGAACCAGGGACCTTCAGATCTTCAGTCTGACGCTCTCCCAACTGAGCTATCGCGGCTAACGATTAAACACAACTGGAACTACCCCCATAATCTTATTGGAACTCATTTCTTCACTAACAAAAAACACACCTGGATCCAATGATGATGCTATACAATTGTTCCTAGGTAGAGAGTAAAGAAATTTTCCAATACGAAAAAAATAGATATATCCTGAATCACCTCAATAATACTAAAAACTGGCATCTGGGAGCATCACATACAACACCAATTAGGATTCTATATATATTTACTCAACACTAATTCCCATTCCATTTCACAGTAATGGCAAGCATTCACTTCATTACAGTGAAGGGATAAAAACACATCATGTACAGTACACCTTACACTGTAGAGTGGCAGCTGTCCCTATTTCCTTCGTTACCCACATCGAGTATGTGCGTACACACACATGGGACCAGAACAACCCCTTATCCCTGCTATGTCTGCTGCACAAGTGTGGCTTTATTAGAGCCAATAAGGCAGACACACACAAATAGCATACAGGGCATCACGGTTATTTTTATAATACTACACTAGTCCATCATAAACTAAGGAATAGGAAACACAAAGAGCAAAAAGGTAAACACACAGATATAACACCACAAAGCCTTATCA